CTACCTATCTGATAGAATGAATCATTTTCAGTGAGACGCGAGGAGAAGAGAAAGACTGGCAAAAAGAAGCTGGTCCAATCAACTTCACAACCTGGGCGGTGCAAGCTCCAATCCAAATTGATTCAACGCATTTCCCGACGTGAAACAAACCCGTCACCATCGACTTCTTCGGCCAGTCCTGTTACTAAATGAATCAAAAATCAAATTAAATAAAAATTGAAATGATTGTTCTTTCCTTACTATAGTTTCTTTATTATGATCTTGTGTGAGTTGAATAAATTATGAGTTGAATGCATTTATTGAATTTTCTATCATGCATTTTAGATTGATTGTCCGATGTTTACTAAAGTAGTATATTTCAGAACGAATCTCATACGGGTTCCAATGCGCGGCTTGGGCGACAATGCTACACGACCAGGAAAGATATTTTTCCGAAATGTTTTTCACTTGCTTAGTTCGAGTTAGGGCCAGTGCCAATCCACGGACGAAGAAACGTGAGGAGCAGCAGGGCAAAATTATATTCGCCCCGAACGCATCTTATAATATAAAAAACTTTATAAAATACGTGCATTATAGCTTTTCGCACCCCTGTGATTATAAAATTCACTTGTCAGTTAATCTACCAGCCCCACACTTGTCTGAGGATTTTCACGGCACTTTCTTGATAATTTCACCATATCTATGTAGACAGGACATCTCAGAATTACATTCCAATCCGAAACCAACATATTCATGGGATATTTTTTAATACAAAAGTCCTTCTTTATTTTTTGATCGAAAGCTCGCCTGAGCCGATATTAACGTAAGTAAAATAGCCAGCATTCTGAAACAGTACGTTCATGTAGCTGCGTGCATCAGTGTGCGTGATCCCTGTCCTGTGAGCAGGAGGCAGTGGAGCACGAGGTAAGAGGGGAAATAGAGAAGTATTTATGTTTCTTCAGGAGGTTTCAAAAGAACAAAGAAATTCCTCTCTCCTCTCTTGCTTTTGCTTACTGCTGAATCCACTGTTTTTGTTTATCTTCCCGTTATTTTGCTGGAAAAGCATTGTCTAAATATATTGGTGTACACGCACAAAACAAATAGAGCAAGAAGATTACGTGCACTGATGCGAACAACAACACGGACCTACAGCTGTTTAACGCTGTAGCGTCATTGGCTGTCCTCTTCGCCCTAATATCTTTTCTGGGGTGCCTCTGATCGAAAAGTGGAAAAGAAGTGTCCAGTACAAAATCCCCCCTAGAATAGGCTAGTTTGGGATCGGCATCTAGTTTTAAGACACCATCTATCGACGGCTACAAATATCAGGAGAGAAGGTGCTTATATCACATGTGGGATTTTGTTTATTCCGGATGGATCCTTGGAGTAGCGGCACCTTCTTGATTTTCTTCATTTACCGAAAAAAAATCAACTTTTTCAAGTGTAAATGAAACTGAAGAAGATGTTTGATAATCGAAGCTGTGTGAGTTGCTTGAGGAACTCGCTATCGAAATGGAACTAAAACTAAAATGCTTTAGTGTGTAGCGTCTTTTTTTCCGAAAAAAAAAAAATTTTCCTGATATTTTTAGCCCTTCTCTATGCTTGTCTTATTGGTTCCTATTATTTTCTATATATCTTAAAAATCTATGGAACCAGTGAAAATCAGTGGACCGGAATCAAGATTTCCCATTGATTCCCATTATCACTCCCATGCCTATCGAATCCATTGGGTATCGCCTAGTAACAGGTTAACATGGAATGCCCCATTAATTCCTGCTGAGCGCCTGATCCATCATTCGTCATTCCTCTTTCCAAGCATAATGGAAATATGAAAATTTTGGGCCGGCCGTCCTATTAATTCCCACTCCGCGCTTTATTCAGAAATTTCAGACATTCAACCAGCCACACTGAGTATATATTCAAGTGTCCGTTTAATTCCGATTATTCTCATCATTTTCATAAACACTATCACTTATCGGAAAATTACGGCTTACCATAAGAGTATCATTGCATCCCATTAGATTTCAATGTTTCGCTCTGTTAACCTGCGGCTACGATAATAACTGGAACATAACGGTCATGGACACCTCTGCCCATTAGTTCCTATTTAATGTTCAATCATACTATCCATCTATAGGTCAATCGGATTCAGCAGGAAAG